CTGGCACGTGATCACATATATCACATTAGTAGACATGCAGGTGAATGTGCCCCTGATGGTGTGGCTGATGTGGTTGGGTCTCTGATGGTGTCGCTAGAGTAGATATGGGGACAGAGTAGGCAACGGGGTTTGTTACAGGAATGGGTTCCTGGGTTAGTGTTTCTGTGGCGTGGTGTATAGTTGCTGGTGAGTATTTGCTTCAGGTTGGGGGGTTGTCTGTAAGCGAGGACTGGCCTGCCTCCCAAGGTCTGTGAGAGTGAGGGATCGTTTTCCAGGATAAGTTGTAGATCGTTGATGATGTGCTGGAGAGGTTTTAGCTGGGGGCTGTACGTAATGGCCAGTGGTGTTCTGTTATTTTCCTTGTTGGGCCTGTCCTGTAGTAGGTGACTTCTGGGTATGTGTCTCGCTCTGTCAATCTGTTTCCTCACTTCCCCAGGTGGATATTGTAGTTTTAAGAATGCTTGATAGAGATCTTGTAGGTGTTTGTCTCTGTCTGAGGGATTGGAGCAAATGTGGTTGTATCTTAGGGCTTGGCTGTAGACAATGGATCGTGTGGTGTGTCCTGGATGGAAGCTGGAGGCGTGTAGGGAAGTATAGCGGTTAGTAGGTTTCCGGTATAGGGTGATGTTTGTGACCATCATTTATTTGCACGGTAGTGTCCAGGAAGTGGCTCTCTTGTGTGGACTGGTCCAGGCTGAGGTTGATGGTGGGGGTGGAAATTGTTGAAATCTGGTGGAATTCTTCAAGGGCCTCCTTCCCGCGGGTCCATATGATGAAGATGTCCTGCAAGTAGAGGGGCGCTAGGGGGCGAGAGCTGAGGAAGCGTAGTTCTATGTCAGCCATAAAAATGTTGGCATACCGTGGGGCCATGCGGGGACCCATAGCAGAGCCACTGACTTGAAGGTATAAGTTGTCCCCAAATCTGAAGTGGTTGTGGGTGAGGACAAAGTCACAAAGCTCAGCCACCAGGTGTGCCGTGGCCTCATCAGGGACACCATCCTAGGGTTCTTGCCATTGGCTACGGCTCCCCTAGAGGGCTCGTCTCCACCGCAGCGTTAGCGTGAGTGTTGCCCCTAAGCCGACTCCCAGAAATCTCGAGCTTGGGTTAAGTGGCACTTTAAGCTGGTCCATTAGAGGGGGGTTGTTCATGGCTGAGGGTTGCTGACGTTGGAGTTTCAAGGGGGAATATTGCAGTGGAGACGCAGCGGCTCGCGCTACAACAACTCAGCTGCTAATCCGATCGCTCTGCGTAGCTGGAAGGGTGTTACGCAGTCTAGCCACGCTCACTAGAACTAGCTAGACAGCGGTAACTCCAGGCTACTAACTGTTAGAGTGCAGATAAGCCCTTATCAATGTGCTAACTCGCGTGAGAACTCCACACTGCCCTGTCGTCACTAGGGGCTTGTGTAAGACATTACTACGCCAACAGGAGACCTTCTCCCATCACCGTGGTTAAGCCACGTCCCTGAGAGACGGTAGCTATGTCTCCCATCATCGCAGCACTGTCTACACTGGGGATTAGGTGGGTATAACGGTGTCGCTCAAGGGTGTGGATTTCTCCAAATTCTCCTGTTTTTGTTTTTACAACCTCCTTGCCTATTGATGTAGAATATGCTTTTTCCATCGTATGGGGAAGACGAGGGGAGCGGGCTGTGCAGGGGAAACCATCCAATTGACTGCGCCCTGCGAACAAATGTGGGGAAAGAAGTGGCGTGTTCTCTAATCTGGTTCAATTACCATCCTTTTAAAAACGGTCGTAAAAAGTAGGTTAAAAAACCCCTTCAGATAGTGTAAGCGGATTGTGTCCCCTTTAAAGCGGAACAAAAAAAGCTTTTTTTCACACGTACATCTTCGGAGCGTGGTAGAAATGTGAGCTAAATGTCAGACCGGTAATGGAATATCCATGTTTTCTCTTTAAATAACCCTTCCGTTTTAAAATCAAGTTGTTCATCTTTTTAATTTCCTACCAGAGCCAAAGTAATTGGCTCTTTTTCCCTTTGTGGCTCATGGTGAGACTTTGTTCTAGGTCTGAACAGCATGGTTACAAGTCTTAAGCTCACCTTCTTTCAGAACCTAACCCAGCCCACGAGAGCTAGAAACAATTATGTAATGAAACTGATCAGTCTCTGTTTCAATACGGCACGCGTCTTGGCCTTTCCATGCCTTTCCGGGCAGTCCATCCGATTCACCAGGCACCCCTTTG